GGTCACCTCTCCCACCTCGCTGAAGGGCTGCGTGCCTTGCCTGAACGCCAGTTTGTACCTCAGCCGGACGGGATCCTGTGAGAGAAAGGGACAGAGGGGCACGTCACAGTTGCAGAGTCCTGGGCTCCTTCAGCCTCACCCATCACCTTGCTGCAGTGAATCTCCCTCTGAAAGGGGAGAGGTTATAGCTCTGGAAAGCTGTTTTCACTGGGAAAAATGTCATCCCAGCACAGCCCAGGCTGCTCCGTCTCTCCCTTACATCTCCTGTCTTTCATATAAACACCTTGCCCATGACAGTGGCGTTCCCAGCGCCCCACCAGACCCCAGCACCGCACAGACCTTGTGCGGATTGGCGAGCAGCAGGACCTGGGACACCACGGCGGGGGGGAGAAGAGGGCTGAAGGCAGGCAGCTCGGAGCCGGATGCGGGCTGCAACTTGATTTTCATGGTCTGAAAGAGAAAACAAAAGGAACTCTTCCTGGTCCACACTGGTTGTCTCAAGGCCAGGGATACACTCGATGAAACAGGCACCACCATACAACAAGCTCACCATTCAGAGAAAGCGAGCTGTGCCATTTCCATGGCAAATCCTAAGCAAGAAATGGCAAACCCTCTCCTCGGGACATTTCTGAGCAGTGCCACCCTCTGCTGCCCGTCACAGGCCTCTCACCTTTGGGACTGCAGCCTGGAACGCGATGTCCTTAATTGGCTGCACTGATGTGCTCAGCATGGAGAGAACCATCACCAGCACATCTGGCCGGCCAGGAGCCGGCTCCCTGGAGAAGTGGAGCATGGCCTTGAAACCATTCCTGTCGTACACAGTGAGCGGACAGATGCTGCCTGCCGGAGACAAAGCAGAATCAGAAACAAAGCACAGATTCCCCTCCCTTCTGAGAGCAGAACAGCGGAGATGGGATAAGGAACAGCAAAAAGAAACCCATTTTGTTTTTTTAAGCCTCTGGAAAAGAATGATTAAAGGTGCTGAGACCATGGTACGACCCCTAGCACCTGCTCTAACTCTCAGATACATTAAGCCCTTCATAGAGCAGTCATTACTTTTCTCCAGTCAACCTGCACAGGGCTTGCTCCCCTGCAAAAATCACAGAAGAGCTCTAGCAAGCCTCTGGTCAGTGGAGCTGGGGCACAGAAACCATTGCACTTACTCGGTGTAATTGAAATTAAAGGGACAAAAAGGTTTTCTAGAGAAGCATCACGGGAAGCTGGATGCAAAGAGGCAGCAGGCTTCAGCTCGTAGCCTGGGCTGGGGAGTGAAGGATCTGCCATTGAGCTATTGGGAAGATCTGGAAAAGGCAATTTCACTGGTGATAAATCCCTGGAAAGAAAAGCACGTAGAAAGCTTACATTAACCAGGGAGACTCCATGGTATATACCATCTTCTGCTGTGTTTGTGTTCCCAATCCCTCACCCCTTTTAGGTATAAAGAAAGTGCAAATTTACACTCTGAGTTCTTGACAAATTCAAACACTGTCTGTTTCACACAGGAGAAGCTGCTGTTTCTGCATTCTTTAAGGCAGACTTTGACTTCTGTCACTACTGTGAAACTTGGTTTCAGGGCCCTGGAAGTCTGCTCTCTCCGTGCACAGACTCTGGAGCTCTGGTCAGTGAGATTACGGTGAATTCTCACTCAAAGACCACACGAGAAGCTGGGAGTCTCCAGCAAACTTTCTTGGCCTGCATTACGGCAGACTGGATAAGTGCATCGTGATGGCCACACGCTCTGAAGGTCTCTGGATGATTAATTTGGCTCATGAGCTGTTAGGCTTTCACTGAATGCCTGGACACTGCTTTGTCACGGCCTGAATAAAGCTGGGGAAAGTATTTTTGGGGTCACAGGTTGTTATAAAAGACCTGACTGTAAGGTTTTTGTCCTTTAGCTCAAGATCACCTTGTTACTAAGCCACAGGATTTGTCTCCCCAAATTTCTGGCCCTTGGAAGGTCCTCGATTGCAATCACACAAAGTGCAATTAACAGGTGCATAACTGATGAAGAACCAAGGCAGACAGATAGTTTGCCACCATTAACCAGCTGTAGCTGACAGGTTTTCCTAAAATGCACTGTAGAACAGTATTCCTCATCCCCAACATCAGACTGCACTGGGAACAGTTTGCTTACAAGGATAAGGTCTTGGTCCTGGGCGGTGGAGAGAGCTGATCAGCCAGGCCCTGCAATCCGCTCCCCTCCTGCAGTCCCAGTGCTTGAACAGCGCTCACAGATTCACTGTATCCGTTGTGTCCAGCAGTCTGAAAAACCAGGCACGTACAGAACATCAGCAAAATTCAGATCTGTTGCACTGAAAAGCACCTTGTCTTTAATAACGCTACTTAAAGTAGGACTAGGTAAGGGTAATCTGGTTGCAAACTGCAGCTGAGAATTCATTGCAGAGCAGAAGGATTCCGGTTTCCCTTCAGAACAGAGCGGTGTGAAGAACGGCTGCCAGAGAAAGCTTGGTCAGGAATCACAGCTGATGTTCGTCCTCTGTACCTTATGGACTGAAGGACCTGAGGATCACTCACCTCCACTAAGCCAAAATCAGGCGGTGGTTTCTGCGCAACAGGAGAGTTGCCGAGACCTAAGAAAGATGCCAAAATGCCACAGATCAATTACAGAAAGCGAGGGGTTTCCATAGGTCCTTCCTCTGCTGTCTAACAGCAGTTTGACTCCAGTCTACCACCATTCAAACTACACTCTCAAAACCTTAGGACACCTCCCCTAAAAGGGTCTCCTTTCTCTTAGGACTGACACCAAAGTCAAAGTTCTCCCACCCCCATTAAATGCCAGGAGCCCCAGCGACAAGGGTGACGCTGCACTGAAGTGCACACACAGACCTAACGACTGCAGCTCCTCCTCGAGCAGACAGGCAGAGCTCGAGCTGCCATGCCGGGAGGTGGTGGTGGTGTTGGCACATTGCTCTGCAGGAGGCTGGGACGTCAGCTCCAGCTCGGAGAAGTCAATCAGCGTGTAGCTCTTCATGCGCCTGGGGGGCGGCCGGCATGCTTGGAAACAGCAGAAAGAGTTAAAGAGAAACCTCCTGGAAGGAGCCGCAAATTGATGGGCGCAGACGTGCCCAGAAGGATTCACAGGAAAGACATTCAGGAATGTTTTCTATCAACCACATGTAAAAGCAAACGATGGTTAAATAGCAGTTTCCCTGTGCTGTAGGACTTTCTCTACATTTATTCTCTCAGAAGCACTTCCAAACTCCTCACACAGGACACACAGGAGCAGAGCTGAGTGGGATGCTGCGGGACGCTCCTTACCTGGTGCATCAGCGGAGCTGGCGGCTGAGCCTCCTCCTCCTCCACCACCTTCATGGCTGCTCACCACCTGCCTGTACTGCCCCAGCGCCTGCGCGAGCTTGTCGTTGGCCTGCAGTATCTCAGCTGGAAAACAGGAGAAGAAACCCAACCTTCGTGTTCTGACACCAGGGTCACTTCCACAGCGCTCTCCAAACTGCTCCTGGGGCGTGCAAGGAGCAAAGTCAGCAGGGCAGCCTGAGCCTGCAGCCCAGCACACCCCAGCTGAAGAACGCTGGCGTTCACGGGTACGACTGAAACGTCTGAGGCACAGCTGAGCCATCGTGGCCGTGGTTTAAACGTCTGTTCAGCGAGGCATCGCTTCAGTCAGCTTCTCAAGGCAAATGCACAAGAACAAAATGCAATCCTCCGGGAAGGGCTGAATCTCACAACTGGGGAATTCAATGATTCTGCTCATGTGACCCTCCTCAATATATTAAGAAATTAAAGAAACAGCCTTCCTCCTGTGTTGATGGACAGGAGAACCTCAACCTCTGTAGAGAAAAGACCTCAAATGCCCTCAGTTTTCTTTCTTGCAGAGAGTGGGAGAAGGTTTATGCCACTTCCCATGGGCATGGTTTGAAGGTGAATGTGGAAATCCTTGCCAGAGGGGTACCAAGTGCCTAAGCACTCCCCACTTGGCAAAGCAAAGGCAGACGAACTTAACCAAGAAACCCAAGGACAGCGCCGGCTCCTACCCAGGGCCTCGTCGTCATCCACCGTCTCACTGGCCAGGCGGAAGAGCAGCGGCCGGAGCTTCTCACAGCGTAGGAACAGCGTCTGTGGCAGGAAACGTTTCACATCATTGCTCGGGAGATCCCTGGAAACTTCTTCTGCCATGGCAATGCTCTTTCCGTGGCAGAGGCCGAGTGCACGGCGCTGCCCTTTGAATCCCCTTGCCCTGAGCCCTCCCAGCCACAGCCAGGCAGAAGCACCTCTTGGCCAGGAAAAGGAGTGTTTACCTGCAGGGTCTCCTGGTCAGATTTGGATAATTCTTGCCTCTTGTAGCTTTCCAGTAATTCACTGATACGTTTAACATTCTCAGACACCTCGCTGATGGTATCCACTCTTCTGGACACCTTAGCTGACTTTTCTTGTTCCTTTGGTGAAAAATGACATAAAATAGGTCATGATTTGGCCAATGCAGCTTGGCTGGGTCACTCTGGATCACGCTTGGTGTGCAGTTGCTTCCCTCTAATCTCTGGCTGCAGGCAGGGGGGGCACAGGGCAGTGCAGAAAGGAGACGGTTGTGTATAGATGTGAATGGGAACCGAGTTTCCTTTTGGAAATGCAGTACCACCACCAGGATCCCACTAACGTGGAAGCATCCCCAGCACAGGCTCCTGGGTGTACGCATTCCCTCTTCCTGGCAATGGCAGATTTTCGGGAAACAAAACAATCCCAAGCTGTAACTTTGGAATAACAAATACTGGCAATCATCCATCCTCTGGGGCAGCATCACTGAGGTGTAGGGGACCCACTGCCAAAAATGGAACTGCCAAGTCCCCTCCCACCCTCCCCAGCTCCCGACCCAGAGCCGCCCGCCCTGGGCAGCGCCTACCTCCCTGATGATGCTCTTGATCAGGCGGTTGGCAGCCTGCAGGTCTTCCGAGCGGCTGCTCCTTAAAAGCCTCGCCAGGAGCTGTGGGGAGAGCAGTGAGCGGTGGAGAGCGGTGGAGAGCAGCGGTGAGCAGCAGCCTCTGGGCACACATGGCACAGGAGCAGCTCTGGAGGATACCCATGGCCATAACAGTTTCTATAGACCTGGAAATACGTGGCCTCATGGCCCATAATCTAATCCAGGTTATATTGCTGCCTCTTATGCCTGTTTGGGAATAGGAACTCTGGCTCTGCAGAGCTCCTGCAGACCTGGAGAAATGCTCCCTTGGGAAAGTGTCATAGAAACTGGGGTTTTTCTGTAAAAAACATTTCATTTTTCACTAAGCAAAATCTTCTGACGAAGCATCAAAGAATGTTCTAGCTGTTGTACAGCAAGAGGGTTTCAGCATTACTCTGAAGATTGTCTGAAACAGCAAAAGCTCCCAGAATATGACCAGGCCTGTTGTCTCATCAGTACAAATCAGAGGGGGAGTAGGCATGAAAAGCCCAGGCTTTACCTTGGATTTCTCTTCATCTGTGTCAAAAATCGAATCCTGAGGTCTGGGAGAAGGGGGAGGTAAAATTTTGTCTTCTGGCACTTTGGGGTCTTCTTTTACAATGCCTGGAATGGGTAACAGGGCTTGTTCAGCAGTGCCTGAGCTGTTAAAACACCAATGCTCAACAGCGCCTTGGATTCTGCGCCCAGTTCCCTCAGCCCTCCCTGGAATTTCACAGGATGAGAGGGAGGAGCGAGGAGCTGCTTTAGCACACACCCAGACAACTTCCCTTCCTGCTTCAATGTAGTCTGGACTGCGGCAGAAAGCGCTGCGGGATTTTCTCAGTCCAGCTATGAAATGCATTACCTGGGATCCCAAGATGGGAGTTGGGCCGATTTCTGGATGACACCACCAGCAAGGATTACTGAACGTGATGGTGTGGATGGAAAGTCCAGCTCAGGATCTCTCTGAACCTGTCCCTCATAACCCCAGGGCAAAGACCTCCCTGTGTTTGAGCCCACCAGCCCCGTGTGACACAGCCCACCAGCTTGGCCTGTGCCTTCCAAAAATCTCCCTAAGCAGTTCCTGGCCCCCTGATGTACCCAAGCAGCCCTGTAAGGGCGGCATTTGTCCTTTCACAGCATCACAGAACATGAGGAGTTGGAAGGGACCTTGGAAGATCATCCATTCCAACCCCTGCCGGAGCAGGATCACCTGGACTATTCAATATTCAATATTCACTATCCAATATTCAATAGTCACTATCCAATATTCAATAGTCACTATTCAATATTCAATATTAACTATTCAATATTTACTATTCAACATTCTTGCTGAAGCAGTAACGTTAACAGGAGGCTAGGAAATGTCAACAGTAATTCAAGTCTTCACTTTCAAATAGGTTTTGCAAATATAAAAGGTTAATTCTTACCATCTGACCATTCACATTCTGGTTTAAATTCAGTGTTCTGTGAATTGTTACATCAGTCATTTCCAGTACATAATTATTTAAAACAAATTTGTGCAACAGAAAACGAATGGCAGTGCAAGCCTTCCCTCCTGACACGCAGCATTTCGAGAAAAGGCTGAGTCACAGAGCAGAGCACAGAGAGCTGTGGTGTGGTCTGCGACCTGGGGGCTAAAAAGGAAACCGAAATAACAGAACTAAACCTTGTTTCTTCAGCATCTGATAAGCATCCCGGATTTTCACTTCCTGAGGAAACCAGACTGTCCAACTGAATATTACTTCTGTGACTCTCGACTTGACTTTTTCTGAAGACCAGGTCCCATAGTACTGAAAAAAAAACCAGAACAAAACAGTAAATGAAACAAAATAGACTACGACCCAAGAGTTAGCGGCAGATCCAGCACACGGGTCTGGCCCCGAGCTGTCCGTGCGCAGAGGCCGAGCAGCAGGCGGATCCCCAAGGCTGTATTTGCAGAGCTGCCAGCGCGGTGTCTGCTGGCACAGGAAAGCACGTGTGGCTGTAAACACAAGGGATGCTATTACACGCGTGGCAATTACACACATACTGCATGACCATCCAAATGAAATCATTTCTGAACTTCTCTGATCACTTACTGAATCCGAAACCAAAAGTGGGCTGTGTTGTTTTAGAGAGAACCGTTCTGTGCTCGACTTCAAACACTTCCCTCAGCTGCCTGCAATGCAAACAGCCCCGCTGGCCTCAGCCAGACCCAGACAGGTGAAAACAGAGCGAGATGAGAAATGAAAGCTAGAGCCTTTGTCAGCATCTGAACGTTTTCTCTGCTTTCTCTCACTATTGCCCATAAGCACTCACTTTAATGTAGTACAAAAACATCAGTAAGAATGGTAGAAGCCACACACACCTCCTCAAACCCTAGGCATTTTAAACTCAAAACAGCCATCAGAACCCTGTGCTGATACATCCTTCAGACTTTCAGGTTTCACTGAAAGACCTTTGCCCAGGCTGGGACCGAGAGGAGAGGTTTTCTAGTTTGGTTCAACACTTCTCTGAAATCAGCTTTCGCACCTCTGTGTCGAGGTGACGCAGTGGAAAACGAAGGCTGTGCAAGCGGTAGACACGTGCAGGACCCGCTGAAAGGGGAATCGATTGCGGGGTCACCCAGAGGGGCACTTAGGGAAGCCCCAGGTCTGCTGCTGGATGCAGAGAAGAGCGGGGTGGGAAGATCCCTGATAAAACAGGGCTGCATTTTTCACCCCAAGAGGCACTGCCAGGGGACCCAGGGCATCTGCTCCCCATCGCTGCTCCCTCTGCATCTCCAACCCACGTGCTCAGGACTGAACCCCTCACTCCTGACGGCTGCTCTGCTCCTCGGGAGGCAGTGACTGCACTTGGCAGCAAAGTGCTCCTCCATGGGATACATCCAATTAATGCACCCAATGAATACACTGAGTGAATACATCCAATTAATGCACCCAATGAATACACTGAGTGAATACATCGAGTTAATGCACCCAATGAATACACTGAGTGAATGCATCAAATGAATGCATTGAATGAATGCATTGGGAGCCAGGGAAGTGGAAGTGCCCATCGAACAGGACCCAAACGCAGGCTCACCTTTGCCAGGAGAAAGCAAGGAGAGAAGCGGGAGCACAGGGGTTTGAGGACAGAGCATAAGAAAACACGGGAGAGGCCCTGGGCATTTTTAGATTAATGGTAAAAGTTTTGATGCCCAGTGTGAGATAAGCAGTGTCCCACGCGCAATGGGCAGCGTAACCACGAGCACCCACCTTCGGGGAAAGCACTTTGATCAGCTCGTTCAGAAACCTGAATTTGGCTATTTCCCTGTGAAACCTTTCACCGCAGTTGTTCACACAGGTCTCCAGCACCTGTAGAAAACAACACAGCGCCATAAACTGTACTGACAGCTCTTGGGGAATGTAAACATTTTCCCATTATCATACTAAATCTAAGAACTTCCTGGCACTGCGCTCACAAATACAAGGTACTGAGGAGGCCGTGCAATGCAGCAGGACTGTGTATTTTCCTTCACCCAGCCCTCTTTAGCAGCATGTTTGACACCATCTGCTCTGCACTACCCAGCACTAAGAACACCGGGGCCACTGCGGTGGGACCACAGAGCGAACAGCGAGGGCTGCAGAGCCAGCAGGGAGGGAACAGCAGCCGCCACCGCGAACAACAGAAAGGGGGGCACATCTGAGAGAAACAGAAGGGGCAGCTGTGCTGTCTGCACCCCAGGCTCCATTTCCAAGTTACTGCTGCCTCTCTGGGCACGCAGATGAAAGCACTCACTGTGAGAGCGTGGAGAGCTTCCCTCTCCTGGGGCGACTGGATCTTGTGTGCCAGCAGCCTCGGCGCCAGCGACGGGCTGGGGAGAAGCAGAAGAAAATCAGGCAACGCCAAGCTCCCGAGGAAAGCAAGGGCTGCTGCCTGAGGAAAGCAAGGGCTGCTGACCCTGCCCTGCCAAGGAGCAACTCCTGCCTTCATGTCAAGGAGATGCATTAATGCAGCTTGTGCGGCCCCAGCGCTGTCCCCTGGGGAGGGCTGGGGGCTCTCCCTGGCTCTGAGCCGCAGGAGCTGCCGTGCATGGCCGAGATGGGGCTGCTGCACACAGCAGGCTGCACGCACTGCATGTGTGTCTCTGCTCTGAAGAAGGCTGTGACGGGTCATTTGCTTAATTTGTTCCTGCTCCTTCCCGCAGAGCAGAGCCTGGGCTGGAAGGGGGGGAAGTCCCAGCAGAGATCTCCCACCCTTCCGAGAGGAAAAGCCGGGGCTGAGCTCACTCAGGGCTTCCCTGCAGAGCCCACGGCAGAGCCCCATGGCAGAGCCCCACACCAGCCATCCTTGGCCAGAGAGGCCAGCAAGGGCATAGTGCTAGGACCTCCTGCCCCATGGGTTGCTGCAATGAATGTCAGAGCCCATTCCCAGACACCACCCTGCACCACATTGGCACATGTGTGCCTCTTCACAGTTTATTTACACTGTGGGAGCAGCAGAGCCCGGCCAGCACTCGAGTTGTCTCTCCAGGCTCCCCACACCGTGACAGGTCCCATTCCCCCCCCGGAGAGGCTCAGAGCAAACACAAAGAGCCGAGTGTCTGCCTCACCCGTCCGTGTCGGCGTTCACCTGGGCACAGAACCTCTGGATGCACTCCCAGTCCTCCTCGGGAACGCTGGGGTCGGTGGCTTTATCTTACACAGAAAGAAAACCCAAAAAAACCCCAGTCTTAGCGGAGGGGCGTGCGAGCGAGCGGCACAAGGGCAGGAAGCGGCTCAGCCCTGGCACTGCTGCTTCAGGGCTTTGGGTTAAAAGAGGCAGAAATGGAAGAAGCAGGAGGAGCAGGAAACAGCTGTTACTAAAATCTGCCGAAAAACACAGCCCCGAGTACGCGCTCTTCGA